AAGTGATGCTCTGTCTTCTTGGTGCTGGGGGGGGGTCAACAGTGGAGGGCTTCTAGTGTCCTGGCCCCACTGCTGGACCTCCTGATGGCACCTGGTATTTTTGGCCATTGTGTGACAGAGTGTTGGACTGGACGGGCCATTGGCCTGATCCAACATTGGCTTCTCTTATGTTCAGTAGAACAAAGCTTGAGTCCAGTGGCACCTTTAAGACCAAGAAAGTTTTATTCAAGGTATAAGCTTTAATTTCTGAATATTACAGATGCTGTAATGGTAGCAATGAACTTAAAAAATCAGAGGTGCACACATCTAGTAGTTCTAAGGGCCATTTTTAAGCCTTCATTGGCTAGTAGGGCCACTAAACCACATTAACTGTAGAACACTATTTTTGCCATAGATTTCACCTACGTATATATTTAGCTGCAAGAAGCTATGTATATATAATCAGAAGTAAATTCTGGGTTTTACTGCAAGGTGAGAGGGCATGGGATTATAGCTTTAATAAAACAGTGAACAGTTTCTGCATAAATGCTGCAGTTTGTATTATAAAAATGTCAGAATCTAATTTTTTTATTTAAGGATCCTTTTCAGAATAGGAACAAAAGAACCCTCGTGGATCAGACCAGTGGTTTGTCTCATCCAGCATCCTGCCTCACACAGAGGCTAACAGCAGGGCACAGAGGCCAAGGCCTTACCCTGATGTTGTCTCCTGTCACTGGTATTCAGAGGTTTACTGGCTCTGAATGTGGAGGTTCTCTTTAGTCACAATAGACATATCAGTTGTGATACAGTGACGAGAACTGCACACAGTATTCCAAATGAGGCTGCACCATAGATCTGTGCAGGGGTATTATAATATTGGCCATTTATGTTCAATTCCTTTCCTAATAATCCCTCATAGATTTTACTTTTTTCACTCCTGTGGCACTCAGGGTTGACACTCCCATTGAGCTATCTGATACGACCCCAAGATCTCTTTCCTTCTCAGTCGCTGCAAGTTTAGGCCCCGTTAGAGTATACCTGAAGGTGAGATTTTTTTTTTGTTCCACTATGCATCACTTTACCTACACTGAATTTCATTTGAACATTGATAAGGGGAAGGGGAACTGACTATGCTAACCAACTATTAAGGATGTGTAGACCAGTGACAGGTTTTTTGGAAAAAAGTGAATTGGAGAATTCTCTAGTGTTCTAAATAGAGTATCATCTGATTTACCATGTTTAATTATGACTTATATTTCGTAAACATTTTTAATGTACCCTAAGGTTATGTCCCAACAACAGCATATTCTTAAAGACATAGAACATACTTTCCTACATTTTTAAAATTTAAGTAAACCCTGAAGGCATTGAGGATTGTTGATGTTTGTTTAAATTTAAGTAAGCCCTGAAGGCATTGAGGATTGTTGATGCAGTCAAAGAACCCTGTTTGTGCACATGAATTTCCCTCACTGGATAAGAGCAACATCATGGAAGTATTTTCTACTGAAATCAATAGGTTTCAAAGTAAATGAGTTTAGAGTTGAAGTGTTAAACCTTATTTGTGCATGAACTTTCACAGAATTGGTGGTAAAACTAGATAATGTCTTCAGAGAATGGGATGTAATGCCTTGACTTTCGTCTATTTTGTTTAATTATTGTGCATGGAGTGTTTGTATGCTGTGATACTCTTGAGAAAATCCAGCCAAAGTTAAAATATTTATAATGTCCCATTGATTTCCAAAGCAGTTCATATTTTCCCATCAGAATCAGTGGAATTTGAAATCCTTCTCTTTGGCTGGATCATGTTCTTGGTTTGTAATATTGTTGTTTGTTTTTGACATAGTTTTAAACAGTTTTAAAAGAGGGATAAATGTGTATGTCAGGGTAGGGTTAGGATAACAAAATGCAAACTTCAGATACAATTTTACTGAAAAGAACCTTAAGTGCCATTTTTCAATTTCATTGCTAACTTTAAACCCATCATAGCTCACAGAAGTACCTGAGAAGATGTGATATGACATTGAGAAGTCATAAGCTCCTGGTTTGTTAGTCATTACATTCCAGTGGAACCCTTTCCACACAAAAATCAGTGACTAAGAACATATGTTCAAAACTAAGTTTAAAAGTCTGTAAATTTGAGCAAAGCACTTGGCGTTGAAGAATTAAATTGCTGTTGCTTCTTCTATATCACAACTTTGATTTTATTATTGTGAAAACTGGATCCTGGTACTGCAGTTTCCTGCTTAAATCACAACTCAATCACGTGAACTTTGTATCATGCCTAATATGCTACGCTCATTCAGATTTTGGTAATCCTGGTCCCTAGTGGATTGCTCATTTGATGTCTCCTCATATTTATTGTAATGACCTACACTTATTAGATGTCTTTTTGTATGGACTGTTACCAATTTACACAGTGTAATCCATTTTGATTTTCAGTGTTAAATGCAGACTGTAAATACAGTAAATAAAACACAATCTCCCCTTGCCAGGTATGGGAAGCATTTTTGTCTTTCTTGTCCCATGTGTTAGCAGTAGACTGACATGAAGTATCTCTTATATCCATGCCAGGCAAAGCTCCACTATTCCATCAAGACATAAGAGCAGGGCAGACAGGGAGAGAGAGAGTTGATGACAGGAACAGCTTCGGAGAAGTCTGTTTGCCTCCATTTCCATTTTGGAATTCTCTGCAAACCACTTACCCTTCCTATAGCCCAAGAGCCCTGCTCTGCAACAGGACTAGTTCTTCTGGGTTGGTGCATGTGCCCGGTTGTCTATGCAAGATCTGATCTTCTGCCTATAAGTGCATCTGGGAGCAGGGACTTGACTTTTTTGCTTGTGTGCAAATACAGGGTTTCTACGCTTCCTTTGTTTTCTTGGTAAATCTGTCACGATTAGTTGAAGCATCAACTTAACAGTGTGCTGCTGGACATATTGCTGTGGAGATTCTCTTGATAAAATGGAAGATTATTCTCTGTTCTCTGTGAATTGTATCCAAAATACTTCTCTATTATATTGTAATTACTAAGGTAACTGACAATATAAATTTGTTGATATTTTAGTACACATGAATTGTTTGTAAAATACATTACTGTTGGTGGGCACAGAAGAAACATACCTGTACCAAGAGGACAAACTCTAATTTAGCATGTATGGCTGCTGCTTATAAATGCATTTAAAACTGGAAGGCTAAATTGCTGTTTATAAGGGGGGAAGTGAGACAAAAAATCAATTAGATCCAGGAGCTGAATCTCTTAAAATATTGTGAGACTCAAAATAAAAAAACTGCAATTATGCTTAATGAGAGCATGTCATGCAGCTGATGTCTGTCATTTTATGAGGCAGAGTGAATTCTTCCATAACAGAAACTGCCCCCTTACCTGTACTAGCATGATTTTGTTTTGTTTTATGTTATTTTTTGGCAACAATGAGCCAGGTGGAGGAAATCTTGAACCTTTGAAGTGACAGAGGCGCCTGGAAATGCTGCAGAGGCCCTGGGAAAAGGACTGCTTCTTTCAGTCTTCTCTCTTCCTCCCACTACTCTTTCCTTTCCTCTTTACCACTTCTCTACCCCAGGATAGCATTCAATACCAGGGTGGGGTGGGGGAATGTAGGATTGATGTCTGCTCGTGCCACCCTGCTGGTAGCCTCCCTAGAGCGTCTCAGCACTGTACATCAGGTGAGGGGAGACAATCCTTGGTATGCTGCTCTGAATTCCTTGAAGGAAGGGCAGGATTTTTAAAAAATGTAATGGTTAAGTTGCATAAAAGGGATACTAACTGGATTCTTCTCATCTGTCATCCAGTTTTATCCTAGAATGAAATACTATCAGTCTGTTTCAGCCCTATTGTGACAAACACATCCTTTGCTTAAAGGATGCTTAATACCAGCTCACTTTTTAAAAGTTCTTGCAACAATACAAAACCCAACACGAGTCTTACCGTGCCTCGGAAGTCACCTTCCCTGTGCCTTATTAAAATACATAACATCAACTTGAAATTACTGGAACGGGCTTGATTGCCATCTTAGAAAAAAAACATTCCTCCCTGATTTCCAGAAATCCATTAAAACAAAATGCCCCTGGAATTTAGTGTTTTTCTCCAAAGCTAATCACAAAACAGCCCATGAGGTACACTTCATCATCCTCCTCCTTCCCATTTCATCTTCATTCAGTCCCTTTCTTCATTATGATTCCACTTTATGGGAGGGTTATTCTCATTCTCTGTTTCTTAGACCTTGTCCTGTAGACGGGAACGGGGGAAGGAGCCCAGGCGTGGCAACACATTCCCAGGCCCCTGCAGGACCGCCATGGCTTATGATGACTCCAAGAAAAAAGAAGGTAGGATTGTTTCATAATCTGAGAGGTGTTAACAGTGGGCATACCATCTCTGGCCTTTGGAGTGAGAGAGTAAGAAAGAAAGCCAGTGTCCTGCATGGATTGGGTTTCTGCAGCATTCCAGATCCTGCCCCCCATCAGAGATCTAAGCAAACCAGGATTGGAACATGAGTCTCACAAATAGTAATTTAAAGTGCTGGATAACTCTGTTGGCCCACAAGCAGCACCCTCTAGTCAGCTCCGTGGAGTAGGGATTCGGAATTGAATCCAGATCTTCTACATAGCACATCACTGATTCCTATATGCTTAAGCAGTCTTCACTGTTCTGCTATCCCTGGAAAGAAGACAGCAATGCCATCCAATGCAGTTACTTCAGTGTAAGGTCACTGAAATTAATGGCCTTAGATTGGGGTACCTCTGCAATGGAATGCAGTGTAAGAATAGGAATAAAAGCAGCCTTCTGTATGACAGTATAAAGCACAGTGCAGTTCCCCAGTGGAGAGGGGCAGTGCTGTGCTGGGACTTCTGTCCTTTTGTTTGTGTGCTTGCTTAATTTTGTGCCTTGACCAAATCCATGGCCAAAATGATTCTGTTGTATGTTAACAAGTAATTAATTTATTTTCTGACAATTGCACTTCTTCCTTCAGATTGTTTAGAGAGTGACCAGACTGATGGTGTGGGGTTGGTAGCTGGGAGAACCCAGCGAGAGAAGAAACGTTCCTACAAGGATCTGCTTCGGGAAGAGGAGGAGATAGCTGCTCAGGTTAGGAAGAATTCAAAGAAGAAGCTGAAGGTGAGACAGAACAGAGCAAACTTGCAATTCTTCTTTAAAAAGGGAGCAGTGTCTTCAAGAATGCATTATGCAACATTTAGAAAAAACATGCATTATGTAGGGGGTTTTCCTTATATACATGCATATTATTTTCTTTAAAATAATACAGTTATTAGCAGAAGAAATGAATACAGCTTTGATAATTCATAAGTGAAGGGATTTCCCTCCTGCCATTAGTTAAAACAGATCAAATAGAATGAACTGGGATTGAGAACTGCATTGCGGAATCAGTTCAAGAGTGGTCCTGTCCAGCATTTTCTCTCCAATGATGCCTCTGGAGGCTTGCACAGAGGCCACTATGGAAATCCTCCCCTCCTGCTATTGGTCCCAGTTTCTGTTGCTCAGGAATTAGAGGTTTCATTTAGCTGTCATGGCTTATGGATGTGATGTCTTCTAATCTTCTTTTAAAGTCATTTAAACTATTTGGCACTCATGGTACTTTGTTTAGTGTATCCTTTTGAAACCAAGGAGAAAATAGGACTCTCAGGACTGTAGAAGATGGATGTACAAATCTTGCTATTTTGCCATTGTGAGAAGATTTGGGCCTTTTAAATTTAGTGAAACGATCTTTCCCTTCTGTAGGATCTGGAGGAGGTGGATGTGATCTTCTATATCCTGATTAGCTTTCAGAAGTCTTGTTTGCCGAGTTTATATTGCAAAGGTGGCTAAAACTCCCACAAATAAGAAATAGAATGATCATTTTAGAAGTATATTTTATTGTTACTTACATAATCTTTGGAGTGTTAGTAGAATGCAAACTGATAACATTGGCTGTCTTTCTGATTCTGCAGATAGCCTAAAAAATATCTCAGAGGTGTGATCTGCCTCATTCAACTCCTTGGGGGATGTTTCACTGAAAGCTTTTCTACAAAACATTCCCCTTTGAGCTGAAATTTCTGCTATCAGTCCTGAGGTGATTATTTTTTGTTGTTTTTGTGCCCTTCTGTTAGGAAGTGTTATTTTCTGCTGGAAACAATTCTGCTGTGTGTTGATAGCATATTTTCCAACGTTTATATACAGGCCATCTTCAGTTTTGGAGCAAAGAAATGCTGTTTCATAGAGAGCATGTTTAGTGGCAAATGTGTGTTTCAGAATATTCTCTATCAGAAGCAAGTCTCCCTTCATTCCCTTGCTCTTTTTTTCTTTTTAATCTGTGTTGTGTGGCAGGAGAGTGACCTCTTCTTACTAGGGACAGAGTCTCACACGAAGAAGAGGAAGCACTCCTCCAATGAGCACTATTACAGAGGTAAGGGTGGAAATCTGTAGCAAAGTCCACAGGGAAGGAATATAAAGCGGACTGGAGGTTGTCTTGTACAATCAGACTATTAGTCCATCTAGCCCAGTAATCTACTCAGACTGAAGGCAGCTCTCTGGGTTTTCAAGCAAAGAAAGATCTTTCCAGCTCTGAGATCCTTTAGGTTGAGATGCCAGGGACTGAATGTGGGACCGGCTATATGCAAAGCATGTGCTGCTGAGCCACGTCAGCTCCCTGAATGGAGAGAGAGCGAGTGTTTACAAGTTTTTGGCTGTTCTTCTTAAGGCTCAGTCAGTGTGCATGGTACTTCATGAGGGGTTAAGTAAAAGAGCAATTTCCCATAACACTTTTGTACTCAGTAAAGACAGTATCATGGGGTAAAAGGTGAAGAGAAAGGATGCATTCTTGGGGGGGGGGGAATCATATGTTTAGTTGAATTTTATTTCCAGTGTGAAAGAGGATAAAGCTTGGCTGTTCATCAGTTCAAGGACTTTTGGGTGCTTATTCATTTGTCTTCTAACCAACTGATTGACTAATGGGATATAAATCAGTTTGCATATATGGAGAACCTTTTCAGATATTGGATGAGAAATGACAGAACTTGTACCCTCATTGCTAAAAGAGCCATATTTTTTATTTCCCTGCATAGTGGGCCAAGGTGGATTATGAAAGGGAGCTTGCATATGTCCCTAACAATTAAAACCTTAAACCACAGCACAACATTTCTCTCAATAAATAGCATCCCACAACCAAAGCCATACATGCAACAGTGAAATCAGATACCACAATTGGCCAAAAGCCCTTCAGAATCATGTAGTCTTACATACTCTCTGGAACATGAATACAGCAGGGATAGTATCCCATTCAAGCAGGAATCACAAGTGGGAATTAAGATTGCTGGGGAAAAGATCAACAACCTCAGATATGCAGACGATACCACTCTAATGGCAGAAAGTGAAGAGGACCTTAAGAGCCTCTTGCTCAGAGTAAAAGAGGAGAGCGCAAAAGTGGGCTTGAAGCTCAACATCAAAAAAACTAAGATCATGGCATCCGGCCCCATCACTCCTTGGCAAATAGAAGAGGAAGTCGTGGAAGTAGTGACAGACTTCACGTTCCTGGGATCCCAGATCACCGCAGACTGTGACAGCAGCCATGACATTAAAAGACACCTGCTCCTTGGGACGAAAGCAATGGTGAACCTAAACAGCATGATAAAAAGTAGAGACATCACCCTGCCAACAAAAGTCCGCATGGTCAAAGCAATGGTATTCCCAGTAGTCATGTATGGCTGCGAGAGTTGGACTATGAGGAAGGCCGAGCACCGAAGAATAGATTCTTTTGAACTATGGTGCTGTGAAAGACTCTTGAGAGTCCCTTGAACTGCAAGAAGATCAAATCAGTCAATCCTAAAAGAAATCAACCCTGACTGTTCCCTGGAAGGCCAGATAATGAAACTGAAGCTCAAATACTTTGGCCACCAAATGAGAAGGGAGCACTCACTGGAGAAGACCCTGATGCTGGGAAAGATTGAAGGTCAAAGAAGACGGGGACAGCAAAGGTTAGACAGTGTCATAGATGTAACAAACATGAAGTTGAGCAAACTACGGAGGACGGCGGAAGACCGGAAGGCCTGGTGTGATCTGGTCCATGGGGTCGTGGAGAGTTGGACTCGACTGTGCAACTGAACAACAAAGTATCACATTCCAGACTGTTGGAGCAACAGATAAGAATGCCCTGGAGCAGTTCTTCACAAACTGAACCTCTCTGGTGGAAGGGTACAGAGAGAAGAATATGGCAGGCGGAGCAGTGTTCATGTACAGGCTCATACAGGAAGAGGTGCTTCTTCATATATGCAGTCCCATGAAGGTCAAAGCCAGCACCTTAAATTGAACCTGGAAACAAATAAACAGTGAACGTAACCATTATAAAACAGACATAATGTGGTGGAAATTATTTGTTTTGCTCTGAAGATGGGCTGCTTTGTAATGAACTGTTTCCAGGTTATCTTTAAAAGCAGGCCCTTGTGAAATGCATTAAAGTAATCCAGTCTTGAAGTTACAGCAGCATGAATCAATGCAACTCAATCAGCAAATTGTAGAAAAGAAATTAATCTTCAAATACAAATAAATGAAGACACTTTTAGGAAAATCTGTGACTTGCCTGTCCAGCGGTATAGTTGGGTCAAAATGTACCCCCCCCCCGTGTCTTCTGAAGAGAGGGCTGCTCCATCAAAGGTTGGCAATGCAGGTTTTCCAACCAGCATCAACTCCCATCTTGTCGGGATTCAGCTTCTGCTACTTCCTTTTTACTCACTTTACCATAGCATGTAGGACACAGACAGCTGCTTCTGGAAGTTTAACTTGTGAAATATAGAGCTGCAAAAATGTAGATCAATAAACATTATAGATGAACTCATTCAGTGGTCTAACATAAATGTTCAGACAACATTGAGGAAAGGACAGAACCTGATGTCTCATGTCAGCTCTTACAGAACCAGTAACTCCCTGTGTCCAGCTAGACAAAAATGATTGAAGTCACCAGAGAGACAATCCCTTTTCATCTATTCTGCTCTCCAAATGATTTGACCAATAGAATTTTCCATGGTTTTCATAGCCACAAATAGATCTAGCAGAATTAACAAGGAGGCATGGCCTCTATATGTAGACAGAGATCCTTCCCTAGAGCAACTAATGCTTTTTCCATCCCAAACCCAAACTGAAATGGGTCATGTTTATTTAGTATTTCCCTTTGTTTCCTTTTGTAATAGCACGCCAGAACGAAAATAATCTCTGAAACTAAATGTGGCATTATTTTAGCCCCATTAGTTAGAATTTCCCCCCACTGATTAGTCAGCTACAGCTGACAGTACTCCTCGATAGGATTAGCAGCTACTTGCTCCAGGACCAACTCCCTTACAAAGGATCACTCCTGAAGCCTCTCAGCTGACATGTAGGTGATGGAATGTTTGATGTTGGGTATGCATTTCTCTCCATTAATTATTCTCCTTTGGATGCTTTCAGATCTTTCTCCTTTTGATTTATCCCTGCCTTTGGAGCCCTCTTCAAAGAAGAGGAAAAAAATAGTGCCTAGTCCACCCTCTGCTGATACTGCCATGGATTTACTTAAGGCCATCACCTCTCCTTTGACCACGGGCTCTAAGTCTTCTAAAAGGACATCTGAAAAATCATCTCATTCTTCACTCACTGCTTCTGGATATTCAGAGGGCAAGAGAGAGCATCACAAAAAAAAGCCAAGTGGGAACAGTAGTGACCTGTCCTTGGATGATGGTTCTTTACACAAGTCAAAAAAGATGAAGCCCCCTTATGTGAACACTGAAACATTGACCTTGCGTGAACCTGATGGTTTAAAGATGAAACTCATCCTTTCACCAAAGGAGAAGGGGACGAGCACAGTAGAAGAGCCCTTTCCACACACATCACCACCAGCAACAAAAAAGTCCTCTAAAAAGTCATCTCGGGACGAACATGGATCATTCCTCCCAAGTCACGATATGCACAGTTTTCTGAAATCATCCCGAAAGAAGCACAAACCACTGCCAGACCCGCATCCCCCTCCAGTCGCTGAGAGCTTTGGCCCAGACACTCCTCTTTTCCCAGAAGGACAGAGCACTGAGTTTGAGCTTCTAGGCCTGGAGCCACAACTGGAATCAGGTTCATCCTCTGGAGGTGAGCTGGAGGCTGGCGAGTTGGTGATTGATGACTCATACCGTGAGATAAAGAAGAAGAAGAAATCCAAGAAGAGTAAAAAGAAAAAGGAGAAGGAGAAGGAGAAGCACAAGGAAAAGAAGCACTCCAAATCTAAGAAGAGTTCTGGGCTGCCTTCTTCCTTGGTGGTAGCTGAAGTAACAACGCCACCGCCAGTTGCTCCAACCAGCCCACAGTTTGCTGTTCCCATTCTGCCACCACCTCCCCCTCCTCCTCCTCCTCCTCCGCCACCACCACCACCACCCCTTCCTGTTTTTCACCCAGATGGCCAGAGTGAGAAGAAGAAGAAAAAAGAAGAAAAAGAGAAGGCAGAAAAATTAGAAAAAGAAAAGGTAAAGATCCGCTACTGAGCAAATTGGTACATGCATATGATGACTAAGTAAATGTAATTGTTTTTCTGGGAAGTCAGCCCTTTCTTTTTTACCCCCAGACCCATAATCAAAATTCATTTTTTATTTCAAGAAATGTCAGTGGTTAAAAATGCTTCTGCTGCTTTTTAATTTTTTAAAAAAAATGTCAAAATATGAATGTATTATATAAATCAAACTTGCTGAGAGCCACAAATACTTCATGCTGAAGAAGTGCTTTGGAAGGCATCTGATACTGAAACAACAGTAGCTTGTGATATAAGCAGAAAGCTAACACACTCCATCTAGAAAAGGAGTGCAAAAGCAAACAACTGATAACTTGTGAAGGAAGAGACTAGGAAAAGATTCTCTAGGTTTTTATAAAGGAGCTACAGTCTGTTTTTATATATATATTAAAATATATAATATATATATTATACAGTTAAAAATATATATCATCATAATTTTTTTCTTCCTTTGTGGTTAGGAAAAGAAGAAGAATATGTCTGCCTACCAAGTATTCTGTAAGGAATATCGAGTGAACATTGTTGCTGAACATCCAAGGATAGGTAATAAGAGAACAACTCTGTAAGGGTGTGTTCGACTTTCCTTTTATTGCTTTTAAAAGCTTGGGATGAATTTGTACAGGGATGGGCATGAACCACATTTTTTCTGTTCAGTTTGTGGTTTGTGGCTGAACCACAAACTGATACGAACCGGGAGGTTGGTTTGTGAACAGACCCAGTTCATATTGGTTCACGAGCCATTTAAAGTTAAAACCCCTGCTTTCTGCTCACCATAAAAAGTCGCAGGGAGCTGAAAGCTAGGGTTTAAATGCCTCCCAGCCATTTAAGCCAAACAGCTGAGTGGCGGGGAGCTCACCGCCATTCAGTTGTTTTTCATGAAGAGCAGAAAGCAGGGGTTTAGACCCCTGTTTTCTGCTCCTCATAAACTGTATCAAAATTTGTGCAAGTTTGTGGCGGTTCTTCAGTTCGCAAACATTGTTATTATTTATTTAGTTTATTTAATTTCTCACTCGTTCTCCCGAAGACCGGCTCAGAGCAGGCAACATCATTTTATAAATATACAGTTAAAATTTCCAATATCAAATAATTCAATCAATAAAATACACTAAAATACAACAATGATATAATTGGTTACATAAAATCAAAATGGCATAAACCCACTGAAGAAGAGGAACAGCAGGGGAAAACAAAAGGGGAAGGGGGAGGCTTCATGAACCAGTCAAATTTTTTGACGAACTTTAGTTTATCAGACGGTTTGTGCCTGTCCCTAGGTGAAAGTCTTGATGGAAACCCATTGAAATATTTTAAAGCTCTTAGTACAAACACTTTCTTTATAACTGATACTAGCACAGACTTATGGCACTCAGATATTACAAAATACGGGCACTAGCTATGGGAAAGATTTGTTTTGAGGCCTGAGAGAATCCTGTCTTTCCATCCTGAGGATGCTAATGTGGTCATGAAGCCCTTTTCAAGAAAGCAAGTAGCAAGTGTCTTTTAGTAAAACATAAGTGCATAGGTTTATTCCCTTACTTATTATGCCATTACAAGAATGCATTATAGAGAAGTAGTGGGCAAAAAAACACCCATAAATGGTAGAAAAATAAAGGTGCTGTTGTCCGCTGTCTGGCTAAAACAGGATTACTAAACAGGACCTCAAAAACCTTCAGATTCAGTTATTCATGCTGTTTCAAATAAGGTGAAATGGCACTGATCCACATGGGCTTTGATACTCCACACGCAGAAGCATACCAGATTTCTTCTATGTATCCTCTGCATCACAGAAAAAGAGAGAAAAGGAGAGCTCCTGCCCTTCCTGTTTTTAAAGCCTGAACAGCTTAGTGAAAGGTCAGGCCTCCAGGTCCTTGGTTCAGTTAGAGCTGGGCAAATAAGTATTATATTATACAATAAGTAAACATTTAACTATACTGCTACTAAGAAACAAAGTTATTAGCATTTAAATTGGGAATATCGATATGGCAGACAGATAGTATGCAAATGTGGGATGGGTGGGTGACACCAAATATGATTAAATAAAGGGACTACCTCTGTAAGCACACAAATGGGATGAACTGCTTTGCTGACTTCCAGAATGGAGTTTTGCCCTTTTTAAAAAATGCTAGATTCTTGCCTCCCAGTGGAAATTACTTGTTCCCTTATCTGAAATTTTTTTAAGGTATATGAACCGGGGCGGGGGGGGGGGGAATAGATAGGTGTGGCTCATTCCATCTTGGGACTCTTTGGATGGCATTGAAAATTATATTTCCTCCAGTCTGATGCTGCCCCCTATGTGTGATAGGTAAACATTCACAGTCCAGCATTCAATGTCATCTGGGCATTGGCTTCGTTCAGTACTGGAGTACTGCCTGCTATTATAAATAGCCTTCATGTTTTTTGCTCTTAAAAGTTTTTTGGCATTCAGGGCTTGTTGGGATTACATGGGTGTTAATTTTTAGGTGCCCATTTGTCACAAAATTGGGTTGATCATATTGATACATAACTGATCTTTCATACCGTCTTGAAAAATGAGAGCAAAACCAGCTTCCATGAGTTCACTAGTCTCTCATTCAGCTTTTGGACCCTCCCAAATGTAAGGTTCTTGATCAGAGAATTCCTTGGCTGCTGATTATGCCAATTTTTGCCCAAGGCCTGGCAATATAGTACATTTTTATTTATTTTATTAGATTTATGTCCTGTCCTCCTTGCAAGCAGGCTCAGGGCGGGTTACATCAATCTCAGAACAATAAATACAATTCAATTTTTAAAAGCTTTAGAATAACAATTTAAAACAGTATAGAATCAAAATACCATGCAAAATAGAATCGATCAAATGTCAATTGCGATTTCATTCAGATAAATTAAGGTACAACAGTGGGCGCCCAGATGTCTGTTTGGATCCAGGCCACTGATGGGAGATTAGCCAGTGAAAACGGGACGTCCACTGCCTCAACCAAAGGCCCGGTGGAAGAGCTCCATCTTGCAGTCCCTGCGGAACTGTAATAGATCCCACAGGGCCCTGATTTCATACATATGGACCTCAGTGCGCTACAGCGCTCATATGGGTAGAGGCGGTCCTGAGGGTAAACTGGCCTCTGGCCATATAGGGCTTTAAAGGTAAGCACCAACACTTTGAAACAGATCCAGAATTCAATAGGCAGCCTGTGCCCGGACAGGCATTGCCGTCAACACCTGTGCTGCTGCATCCTGCACTAGCTGCAACTTCCAGAGCAAAGGCAGCACCACATAGAAGGAGTTACAGCCTCACATGGAAAGAACAACAGGCATCACCCATGTCCCTTCTACATAGATAAGGTTTTCACCAATGCAAATAGTTTTGTTTTTCACGTAGTGTGTATTTTAAATGATGACTTCTAATAATGGACCAGATCATAAATGTGCATAGGCCAAATTCTGGAAAAATCTGTTTTTGTTCTAAATCTTTTACCTTCTCTAATTTCCTGCTAGATTTTGGAGAGTTGAGCAAAAAACTGGCAGAAGTTTGGAAACAGCTGCCAGAGAAGGATAAGCTGGTAAATATGAGATGTTTCCATTAAAATTACACATGTAATGAGGTTTTTTTGGTCCTGGCATGTTGCCACCATGATGTTCACATTTATTAACTCCTAATTTCCCTGAGATTGCTTTTTTCTGACTTGTGCATTTGTATGCATGATTATGTAATATTTGGCATCTGCTTATGAAAATTACATAGCTGCTCATCTTCCCCACCTCTTTCATTTTGAGACAGCCTGTGTGACATTTTTAAACATGTTTTGTTTTTCTATTCTTTCCAGGTTTGGAAGCAGAAGGCTCAGTATTTGCAACACAAGCAAAATAAAGCAGAGGCTACAACAGTGAAGAGGAAAGCAACCTCATCAGAGGGTGCCCCTAAGCTGAAAGGTAACATCCAAGCCTGCTTCCACACGGGGTTTTTCCCCTGCATGGAAGAAAGCATGCCCCTGCATTTGTTTGGAGCTTCCAGGTGGCATCACGTTCATTCAAAGCACAACTCCTGAGCCTTTCTTATTTGGATCAAGTGGAAAACCTCCTCTGATACAATTCAAAGGAGGCAATGTGGGGTGACTGCGTGCAGGCATGTCAGTATGGACAGGCCACTGATGTGAAGGGGCAGGGCTAAGTTCTGCCTTGAAAATTGTAGTGTTAAACTGTGCAAACAAAGGGTGGAAAATTCAAAGTTTAGCTTTGCGATTTTTAAGGCAGAACTTAGTTCTGTGTTTCTTCCTTTCCCCCTTTTAAAAGCCTTTTAGGGCTTTTTACCTGTCCCTGGTTGAGCCATGCTGAAGCTTTAACTGTGGCTCACATAGGAAGAGACCTGACATGACTTTGGGATGGGAACCAGCAGTGAAAGGCACAGTGATGGGGCAAGAAGAATCAGTCTTCATTTGCTGCTGTGTCTACAGTGGGGACACCTTGTTGCACCATGTAGAAGCAGCCCAATTCAACTGATTCTTATTATGTGATGTCTAGCTGCAATCAGAAATTGGAGAGTGCTGTTTTCTCCGGAGACATACTTTTATGTCTTATTGCAGTGTTGATCTGTTTTTGTTGGAAATGGTTGCAAAACCTCTGACTTGATCTGTAACAACCAGGTGTTGTTCCAAAGCCTGTAAAACAGTGACATAGATTACAAGGTTCAGTTTCATGTAGGCTGCAGACATGTTAAGATCTCAAAAGCACACACACACACCCATGCGAAGCTGCCTCAGACCAAGACTAGTAACTTGGGTATTTTGGTTGGGAGAACGTTAGTCACCTCCTTTACAGGACATTAGAAAACTCTTCATATATATATAGTGTGTGATGTCTGCTTACAAAATATTTAATTAATTTACATCCTACCTTTCTTCCATTATGGAACTTGCAGCTTCTCTAACAGGCGTGCTTTCACCTCATAAGAAGTCCCCATCTAGCACTGTAGTATTACCTTCTTCACCCATCAAAGTTCCTGAAACAGATCCTATCGATGTCGCTGCACATCTACAGTTGCTGGGAGAATCTCTAAGCCTCATTGGCCACAGGCTGCAGGAGACTGAAGTAGGTGCTTTCATTGACTAATGGAGCTATTTTATTTATAACAGTACAAGCTTCGTGCATGTCAGGAATTGTAGGGGCAAGAGGGAAAAAAAGATTGGGACATCCCCATCTCCCTTTTTAGGATACTGTAAGCTCTTAATGTCTTGTTTCAACCCAGCTGATTTTCCCTCCCCTCTGTTTTCCTTAAAAAACAAACAAAAAAACCCTGACAGTTGCTGTCAGGATTCCAAGAATGACAACCATGCTTAGACCTATGGGAGTCTTTTTAAAGGACAGTTTTTTTGCATACCTAGGGCTCCATTTACTGCCTTTGTGGAAGACAGTTGTGATGAAAGTTGCTATTAGGCAAACAAGTTGAGAGCCTATGAGGAATTGCTGTGGGTTAAAGTTAAATTCTCCCCAAGCCGCATTCTCTCTATCCAGGATACTGTCAGCTGTCGGAGGTTTGATGAGGCCAGTTTCCCCCCGCTCCCAGATGACTGTTGGCAACATTCCAAGGGCCATATTCGCTCCTCATCAGGCCATTTGTGGAAAAGTGTTTTCTGATATAAAAACTTAAATTTTTGTGCATACCTAGGGAATCCCAAGTATACAGAAACACCATCTTTGTCCACAGGTGGGCACCATTTCCTGCTTTCATGATAGGCATTCAATAAAGAATCTGATTATGAGAAAGAGAAGTTGGGGCAATCAAAGGAATAAACAATTTGTGGGGGGGGGAAACACTCCCCCAATACTCTGTAAACTTCCAGGGAATTAAATGTGCCAACTCCCCCCACCTCTTGTCTCTCTGCTTCTTTTTTCTTTGACTGGCACTCAACATACCTTGCTCATGATGTGCTTGTCCAGAACAGAGGTGTTGGCCCTTTAAGGAAGCTGCCTAGAGAATATGTGTTGACTCTTAAGACAGGAAATAGATTGGCATTTGCACTGCTTTCTTTACTAATCTTTCATTCACCTTTTATGCTTCCTAGGGGATGGTGGCTGTATCAGGAAGCCTGTCAGTGCTCCTGGATTCAATTATCTGTGCTCTGGGCCCTTTAGCATGCCTGACTTCCCAGCTGCCTGAGCTCAACGGCTGCCCCAAACATGTTTTGGTGAGTTGTGTGCAATGGTGTGGATTTTCCAGGCAAAAAAAAAATGAATTGGAATTTTTTAGTGCCCTAAATAGATGCCAACTCTGATCTAGCATGTTTTGATGTGAACACAATTTAAATATATATTTATTTGCTTCCTGTGTAATACACCTTTCTCACAGGAATGAGTCACAATAACAAATACTTGAACTGAAATGTTAGATTAGGGGGAAAAAAATAAGTGAGATTTAACTTTATATTCAAGCAAATGCAAACCTTTGTGTGGAAAATAATTCTTTTAAAAATTGAAGACAGTATCACACTTATTTCTCTTACATTGTTTAAATTTGGTTGGGGGGACAAAGACAGTGAAAACTGTTGACAGGGTAGCAGTGCGATCACGAAGTCAGTAGGTTTAGAATGGTGTAATTCTGCTTGGGAATTGTAAAGTAATTAGAGCACCCTCAAAGAACTGTGCACGATGTGCTGGGGCTGTGGTTGTCCACTAATTTGTTCCTATAGAATTTAACTGGTTTCCATGGAGGTCACTGGGGGAACCTCAGTTCCTGTACTGCTCTTGCATTACTTCTTAGTTCCATATCAGATTGTTGATGACAGTATTTATTCCACCATGAGAGGAGACATAGAAATAAGAATTTTAAGCTTTGGCTGTGCAGGTCAAATCAAAACAAATAATAAGAATTCATAATTTGATTTTTTTTTTAGTTTATTATATGTGTGGGTGTCATTTCCCTCAGTTTACAGATCAATAAAACATGCATGTACTCTTTTACACAGTTACTAGAGATAACCACCTGAAAGTATTAGCTGCAGGTCTGCAGCTGCCATACTTGTGTATGGCTGCTCTTCGTTGTTAATTTATGAAACAGCAAATCTTTAAAAATGGAGAATTTCCTGCCAAAAAAAGGAGCACTGGATAACATTCTTCCCCATATCTCCCATTCTGTGTGGCATTTACATGTTGTTACCTACAGCTTCCCTCTGGACATCGTCCTGATTGAAGGCTTGGTTTAGTGTCTAATAATAGCCCTTCTCAGTGTGCTGCCTTTCAACAAAATTCTTCGTTCTAGTACACAGTTCCTCACATTTCATGTAATGCAGTTTCTGAAGAGAACATTGGATTGTGTTTTGCTGAGGGGAGAGAGAGAGAGAGAGAAAGAGAGAAAGAGAGAGAAAGAAAGCAAGCCTTGGCAGACTTAACTGTAGAGGTTCTGAGGCTTAATATAACAGGTTCTTCTGTACAATCAGTATATTGCTCATTAGATACAGAATGTGTGTCTAACTTTCTGTGCACAGTCCACTGGCCTTTCCTGGTTGAATTTCTATTCCAGGAATAATACCAAAGCTTGATTTTGTGTATGTGAGAAAACCAACATACCCCTTTCCTTCCTGCATTATGTCCGGATCCTGTTGGATTTTTTGGTTCGTCTTCAGTCTTCTGTGGGACAGTGCTTGTTACAGTTATTCTGGTATTTTCTAAACACTCCAAGGGGAGCCCTTCCCTTGCAGGGCTGATTAGAGACCTTCTTCCCAGCTAACGGTCACGGGCTCTGCAGGGAGGAGCGCCCCTTTCCCTCAGTCCTTTCTTCGCCACTGCCTTGTGAGGATGTATTTTCTTCAGCTGTGGTTATTGTGAGATCTTTCTCGAAGATTTCTTGTCCCTGGGCTCCCCCCCCCCCTTTTGGGAGATGTCGCAGAAGGCTTTATTTTAAAAATGTACCCACTGTGGTACAAAAATGACCCATTTGGATGAACACCTTCTCTGTTTTTTCTGCTTGGGTGAGGCCCATAATACAGCCACATGCAAAATTTGCTTCCAATTTATCCCCAAAGCCCACTCAGATCAAGCAGCACGCTTAAAGGCAAGCTTATGGGAGAAAGCACTTTCTTGGTCTAATAGCCCGGCAGCGAAGTCATCCACCCCAGCAGAGCACAGCCAGTCCTCACCCTCAAAATCACTGGCTGGAACTGACTACCTTACGAGCTCACCATTGAGCATTCCATGCCTCCCCCTCCTTGGCAAGGCTACCCTTATTATTTTCCATCTCCTAGACTTCAAGAATGGAGTCACTGGCAGTTGCGAAAACTACCTCAGGAACCTAGACATCATTTTTCACAAAACCGTGATGCTGCAGGTCTGCCAGTTTGGCACCCTCCTGCAATTTCTCCTCACCTCCTTATGGGGCACTTGGATTCTGAGGAAGAGCAGACTCTGAGGGCTGACTTACCGTCTGGCCCAGGCTCAGATTTGCCATCAGACCCTTCCCCTGATGACATCGTAGGGGACCCTGACCAGTGTTATCTAATGAGGATCCGAAACTCTACACAGAGCAAATTATGTGAATGGCTAAGTCGTTGGAGATAGAGGCGACTTCCAGCAACCCAAGACCTCGAGACAAGATCTTAGGCAAGCTCTGTGCAGAGTCACCTGGTATAATCACCTTCCCTATCTTGGAGGACATTGCTGACATTTCCAAGGCTGTATGGCAAAAAACCAACTAGCATGGTGGCCACTGGCCACATCCAAAAAGGTGGCGATTGTATACAGAGTGCAACAAGAAGGTCATATTTATTTATTCTCCCATCCCCTGGCTTCATCTCTCATAGCTGGAGATGCATGCAAAACAGCATACAGGTGCAGTTTCCTCACCAACGGATAGAGAGGGGCGAAAAATCGATGCAGTTAGTAGAAAAGTTTACTCTTCTGCTGTACTCAACTTGCAGATTGCTAGCTGTAGTGTGATTATGGGAGGATACCAGCTGTTCTTCTGGGAAAAGATGGCTGCTTACATAGAGCTTCTGCCTGAAGACAAGAAGCCTTTGGTCAAACTTCTCCAAGTGGAGGCATTGTGCCTATCCAAGCAACAGATTAATGTAGGAAGACACTGCTGACTCTTCCTCCAGAGCCATGGCTTCAGCACTCATACTGAGAAGGCATGCTTGGCTGTGCTCCACAGCTCTCCCTCCTGACACCCAGCAGAAGGTAGATGACCTTCCATTTGGGGGAACAACATTATTTGCTTCGTCGACTGATGATCTTTTGTCCCAAATTAAGAAGAACAAGCAAACAGCTTGTTCATTTGGCACCACAGCAGGTCCCGCAACTCTGTACAGGCCTTGGCAGACATATAGAACTCATCAATCACAATTGCCATATTCTTGGCACTTGCAAAAGCAGCCTCCTTCAGCGCAGTATCCTACACAGCATCCCTTTTCAGGGTCTGTGGCACAGGGTAGGCGTAGGCCCAATCACAGAGCTAGACATTTGGGCTCAGAATATCAGCCACTTCCTAAAGAATCGCAATAGGCTCCAAAAGTTTCCATCTGACTGGGACATGTAATAGAGCAGCCACCTATCATCTTTAAAGACAGGTTGGCTGTTTTTAGTGACAGATAGCGGGAGGTCACTCATGATGCTTGGGTTTTGTCAACTGTTAATCTGGGTTATATATTAGAGTTTTGGCAATGGCCACCCCTCCAGCATCCTGATCAGGCTTTGAATATGCCTGAGTTGGAACACAAACTGTGTCCTTTATCCAAAAAGGGGCAATACAGAGAGGTCCTGACGTAGACCTCATCATGGGTTTCTATTCACTTTTTTTTTCCGGTACGCAAGGAAGATGGAGGCCTTAGACTGATCTTGGGTCTGAGGGATCTGTTTTTTTTTCTGAACGTTAGCAAGTTCAAAATGTTGTCTTTCGAGTTGGTCTTACAATTATTAACATTAAACTGCTGGTTTTGTGCACTTGACCTTCAAGATGCTTATTTCCATATAACTATCCACCCCTGTTTGCTGGTTCCTGCACATTTAATATAATCATATTTCTTACCACTATGTGGCCCTTCTGTTTGGGTTGGTGACTACCCCACGGGTATTCTCGAAGTGTGTTGCTGTACTCAGCCAATTTTAAAAATAGGATTTGGTGATTAACAGCAAGGAATCACGCCTCCAACCCTCTCGGAAGGTGTCCTTTATTGGGGCCTTTCTGGATGCCACAGTGGCCAAGGCTTTCCAACCTGTAGATAGAGCCTTACACATAAGGGTGCTGGTTAGATGCCTGTCTAACAACAGCTTTCAATCAGTCCTTTTCTTTCAGAAGCTGTTAGGACTGATGGCCTCTACCATAGCTACAACCCTGCATGCACGCCTAAGAATGCGACCTTTGCAGAATTGGTTTTTAAGCAAATCTCACACTGCTGTGCCTTCCCAGTATACTAGGTTCACAGTTCCTAGGTACATAGTATAGTAGTTGGGCTGGTGGTTGTGTGAGAGTAACCTCCTAGCTGGGGTACCTTTGGGGAAAAGGACACTTCAGCTTTCTGTCACCTCTGATGCATCATTGCAGGGCTGGGGAGCCCATTGTGGGTCATTTTCCATGCAAGATGTGTGGTCACCAGAAGAAAGAGATTTTCATATTAACCTCTTAGAGTTACTTGCAATATGTTATGCCCTTACCCCATTTGCAGAGCTCACCAGCGAGATAGTTATTCAGGTCATTACAATCAATACTACAGCTATGACCTATATAAACTGACAGGGAGGCACAATTTCTGCAGCCCTGTGCAGGGAAGCCACTCTGGTTTGGGAACTGGTCATAGCCCAAGGATCCTCCCTCCAAGCAGTACAAGTGGCAGGTGCTGCCAACACGAGAGCGGACATCCTCAGCAGAATGGGGCAATCAGAACACGAATGGTCTCTGGGGGAGAATTCTATCCTCCCAATTATTCAACAATGGGGTTTTCTGGGAGTGGCTCTTTTTGCCATCCGCGTCAATGCGAAAACCCTGGCATTCTGTTCCAGAGTGAACACCAATCATCTCTCTAGGTCTAGGAGATGCATTCCAGATCAAACGGACAGACACTCTGTTTTATACCTTCCTGCCATTCCCGCTTATCCAAAGGGTGTTGATGACCAAAATCTAAGAGGAGCACACATGGTGTATGCTGATCACTCCTTTTTGGCCCAGACAAATTTGGTTTTGGGACCTCCTGTCGCTATCTATGGGCCTCTACATACACCTTCCCTTAGCTGCAGGAGTCCTATGATCCACCACGAGGTGAGCAGATTCAGGTTAACTGCTTGGCTGCTGAACGATCCCAGTTTGGGTTCTCCGACCAGGTAGCCAATGTTCTCCTTAATGCCTATAGACCCTCTACGGAGGGTCTTACATGAGTAAATGGGTCTGTTTTTCTAATTAGGCCAGGGCACAGGGAGTTCAAGCAGAGGATTATCCTATTGCCCTGGTATCTGAGTAGCTACTATCTCTTAAAGAATCTGGTCTGGCAGTTTACTCCCATAAAGTACATTTAGCTGCTATATGTGCGTATCATGTTAAGGTCCAAGATAGGACACTTTTTTCTCACCCAGTGTCCAAATTTTTGGAAGGGTTGTTTGTTTCCCCCATGGCCACCTATAGTGCTGCAGTGATACTTGTCAGTGGTTCTCTCCCAACTTATGTTAGCCCCATTCGAACCACTAGGTTCTTGTAGCTTGTGACTCTTTTCTCTCAAGGTCACATTTTTGGTAGCAATCACATCAGCCAGGAGAGCTTTGAGGGCTGACCATCCATTTATTAAGTTCCAGATTAGCCAGTTAGTTCTGAGACTTAGTTTACATTTTTTACCTAAAGTGGTCTCTCATTTCCACCTTGCTCAGGACATTGTTCTTCCAGTACTTTTTCCAGCCCCTACCTCAGAGGCCGAAAAAACATTACACTCTTTAGCCATGAAGAGGGCTTTGTTGTTTTACTTAGACAGAACAAAAGGCTTCGACAGTCCCTAAGCCTTTTTGTTTGCTACTCCAGTAGCTCAAGAGGGATGCCAGCCTCAGCACAGCCACAGACCATCTCTAGATGGATAGTCTCAGCTATTAGGACGGGTTATGAACAGGCCAGTCTGCTATGTCCACTGGAGATTTGGGAACATTCTACATGGGCACAGGCAGCGTCAGCAGCATTCCAGAGAGGGACTCCCTTGAAGGACATCTGATGGGCGGTGACATCGTCATCATCAGACACCTTCGTCAAGCACTATTCTGTGGACATGAATGCAAGAAAGGATTCAGCAGGTGGCAGAGCGGTGCTGTGCTCCTTGTTCCACTGAAACTCAACCCACCTCCAAGCTCTATAGTCTCCCAGTGTGGGACTGTACAGAAGACTGAAGATGAAAACAGTGTGTCGTACTTACATGTAACTGTTGTTCATCGAGGTGTCTTCCGTGCAGGCACACATTTCTTCTCTCCGACCCTGCTGTGAGTTCATAGGATGCAGTTACCTTCTTGACACTCATGGTGGCTCAGGAGGACTGAGGGAAATGGGAAGCAGAGCAGGTGACCCTTAGGAGGGAAGAAGGCCTCTAAGCAGCTCTGCAGGGGAGAGGCTCCCCTTGGAGTGTTTAGAAAATACCAGAATAGCTGTAAGAAAGCCTCTGGTGGCTGGCCCATGCAAGTGCAAGCCCAATGTGTGTCTGCACAGAAGAGACCTTGATAAACAACAGTTACAGGTAAGTGCAACACTGTGATGTAATTAGAAACAAGCAATAAAGTTCTCCCCCTTAAATTCCCATGCTATTCTGCAAACTGAGCTTTTTCAAAATGTATTTCTTCAAAAGCCACAAACTCCTCCATTGCACAACTCCAGCACAAGATAATTTGTTCATTAAGTTGTTTGGGAGGGTTTTTTTGAAGGAGGAAACAGCAGCCAGGCTAATCCAATAGAGCAAAATTATATGTAGGAAAATTGAGGGCAGGAGTGAGTGAGAAAAAAGAGAGGTAGTAAACAATAGCACAGCTTCCCACAGCAAGGGAATGCCACCCTCTGTCTATTATACATGGACAGCATATCATGGTTTTGTCATTCAGAAGGGACTTGTACCTACCCAACAGCTATGGTCATCTTCTGAAGCCCTGCATGAGGTGCCCCCTCCTTCTGAGGTTAGGCAGGTGGCAACGCCAAAGAGGGCCTTCTCAGTCATGGCACCAAAATTATGGAGCTCCCTCTCCAGGCACATTCATTTGTCCCATCCGGTCTGTCTTGACTATTTCATTTGACAATCTATGATCCCTCCTGCCGGCCCTATGTTTTGTTGGTTTTGTATTTTTACTTGTGTATCTTAAGTGTGATGCAAACTACAGCTGCAACTGTGTGGAAAGACCATTTGTACGCCCCAGTCTACTTGTCCCTGTGAGACATTTTTGGTCTATTAAAGGACTGTACCTCCCATAAGCTGCAGTTTCTGCATTTTATCAGCAGGTGGCCATGCCACTCAGAGATTTTCGTCATCCCTTGCAGGATTAGCAAAAATGTCTTGTAATTATTTAAACTGTTTTTGACTTTCTGGGATGTATAGAGGGCAGTGTACATTTTTAAAATTTAAAACCCAGTGTTTCGGATTAAAAAGACCAGCAATCAGGTTGGATCCAATAATCCATCATCAAACGGTATCAGCAGTTGCAGATCTTCCCCACTTTCTTCTCCCCGTTACTGGGGTTGTGAGGCCCACATGGAATAACAACAGTGTGGGTTGAAGGGCTGAACTAATGAGGGGGAAGGGGCCAAAATCTCCTTTCCTGCCCCTTCCATCAGTGCTGTCTGGCACTCCAGTGATGGAAGAAAGGAGTGATGTCACCCCCTTCCGCCCTCTTCCCTGCACTGCACGGACGACATAGCTATTATTTCACATGTATTTTGTAGCTCCAGGAATCAGTTTTCCTGAGAATGGAAATGGCTGCTGGGAGGAGGAGAACATGGGGAAGATCCACCATCAGATCTGTCGCATTGTATGTCAGTACAGACTGAGTTTCCTTTTATTCACTTGTTCTGCCTAAAACATATTTGTTTTAAAAGCTACTGGGTTAAATCAGTGTGTCATTTGTTCTTCTCTTCCCAGTCAAACACACTGGACAACATTGCCTATATAATGCCTGGACTCTGACAGGAAGAGGATCCTGAGATGTGAACCGCTACTGTGTAACTAGTGTGTGTGTGCACGCATAATGCATTATACTGGCATTCTTGAAGGGGTCAAACCTGTAAAGTTTTAATGTTTCAGTCTGTAATGCATAAGACAGAACTGTTAGCCATTTCACTCGGTTTTATGAACAGTTGTGAAGTTTAATTCGAGAGAATTCATGTTTTCTTCTATCTGAATGCTTATATACTGCGTAGAGTTAAGAAGTCATTTGATATATCAGCCTTAATTTGGAAGACATAAATACATGAAATGGGTTTTACTTGGAAACATCAAGCTAAACAAATGTTACAGATGAAATACCACTCTTTTCTAAGAAATGTTTTAGATATAAACTTTCTACTTCTCTGGGGGGAGTCAGTTGGAGGGAGAAGGGGGTTGTTTGATGAGTTGGCATGCATTTTCTTACTGCTGGGGGAAGAATGCTATTTTTGCCTGAGGACTTGTGCTGGCACCAGTAAACCTCAGCTTCCTTTTTTAACCTCCCATATATTTAGGGAGGAGGAGAGTAATGAATTAAAGGTTCTCAAATTCTTTGGAGAAATTAGGGGGCTCTTGATGTATATGAGTAGCAGACCTTGGTGGAAACATACATTGCTTCTTTCCAGATCGTGTCTACTCTGCTTACTTCAGTATTTAGAAACGCGTATCACCAGCAGTAAATGGACAATGTCCTCTTCACATGGTGCTGCTGTACATGTTTTAGAGGTAGTGATTAAGATGAAACGAAAGGGCTTATTGCTGACATTGAGCGGACAGATCCTGTATCCATCATACGGGGAGTTCAGTGTTGAGAGTGCCTGGTCCTTTTTGGAGTAGCACTTCATTTGCACACATAGTCCTAAGTGTTGCATTCTGATCATGTGTATTTGCATCTTCATGTATTGTATGTAGTAGATAATTTATATTGTATATTTCTGTATATAGCTGTAATTTAAAAACAAAACCATCTGTTCCACCAATAGCATATGGGAAATATGAGCTTGCTGTTATCACCTCAGTGCTCTACAGGATCAGGCTTAGACTCAGAATGAGAAGACGTAATAGCAATAGGATTTTTGTGATCAATGGAAATGAAGGTGTAAAAACCTTATATTCCGCCCTGATCCCCTTTATTACTTGTAATGTAGTCATCTGGTAATGGCAAAAAGGTAAATACTTTTGCTTCCAGGACTTAATATCACAGTCTTTTTCCAGACACCTAGAACTGAGCTGTCCCTTATTGGTAGACTGTTAGATTGACTGACTGGATCCAATGAAGCATTTAAATAAAACTGCTTCTGCACTGCGTGGTAGCATTTAGATAAATGAAGATCTCCTTTTTTGTCCCCCCCCCCCAGTGAGGACAAGGCTAGTTCTAATAGGTGCTATTCTGTAAGTTAACCTATGTGCTGGTGGCTAGTGTCTTGGTTTTTACGGACCTTATTCAGATCTTGATATTTATCTGAACAGTCCAGCAGCATTTAAGAGGGGAAAGGAATCTTGGTGCAACTCCTTGAAGCTGGACAATTGTCTCAAAAGCTTTCTTTATAGAGACATGTGATACCTGGTCTTAAGATTTCAGATTTTAATTATGAAGAGCAATGTTAGTTCTCTGTACATAAATATATAGATCTCAGATTAAAGGGAGGGTGATCTGCTTCAGTTGTGCCATCTGCACTATGGCAAACTTGAAGGTTTTAAACACAAAAGACCTATTCATGAACTCTTATTTAAAATTTGTACATATTTGTATAATCTCTATCCTGTGATATTTGTAACTGGAGAGCTTTAGACTAAGACTCTAGCAGTTTTTTTACATTTGTTGTTTCCTGCCACTTAGTAAAAATTGTATTGTATAGACATTTTGCTAATGTATATAAACTTTCTAAGAACTTGGAATCTTCTGTCTTGATTAATTTCAGATTTTGTTTTGTTTTTGCACTGGTATACCATCAGTACTGTAAACTACACCTTTTGCATTCAACCAATGACAAGAGTTCCTGTGCATTTTTCTCTCCAGCTGCAGAGTTTTCTGTTACTTACTACATGCGTCATTGAGATTCCAGTATGCAGTAGCACTTAACCATATTTCTTTTTTCATTCATTGCTCCACAGATTTCTGTCAGTTGTAAGCCAGGAACAACTGCTATGAAAACCCATTGATTGTAACTGGCTATTTGTGGAATTTCTATTACACTCTATTGACTTAGAGGTTAGCAAGCAGCAGTTCCTGGTAAATTGAGCTTAGAACTGTTTAGTCACAGTGATGGTACATTGATATCATGATTCAAATAGTTTTAGATTCAGGGTCCTTTATTTTCTGATCTTAGAGACTTGAGCCAGTAAATACTCCAGAACACTTGAGTGCAACATCTCACTACAGCAGGATGCTGCAAAATGCAATATTTCAACATTGTTGGCTAGATACTTCCTTAGACTGTTCTGACATAAGTTGCAGGGAGATTTTAAAACTGAAAGACCTGTTCCCAGATGTTTCAGCATACCAAGGAAACCACTGCTTTTATGCCCTGTTTTGAAAGAATTAGCACATAGAAAGCATTTTTAAAGGTAGTGTCTTCCTTTTTGAACATTAAGCTATATACATGATTTTTTTAAAAATGGGAAAACAGTATTCTTGGAATAATATGCTTTGGACAGTGTTATAGAAGGAAGTGGGGAAAGTGTCTTCTTCCTTGCTAAGCCAGCAAGGAAAAGTCCCTTAGACCAAGGATTCCTTAGAAAGCGCCCTGGTAACCAGCTACCACACCACTTAAGATCTCAACAGGTATCCTTCTAGTATGTTGTTGTCGTTAGCCATTCAGTAACAGGGTAGAAACCCTGGAAAATACCATATGAGAAACTGTAACATCTGGGTGATCTAGCATGTGGGGTGAGATGAAGAGAAATATCCCAGAGAAAAATCTTATACTAAGTGAAGCCAAAAACAATGTCTTTATAAAAAGGACTATGGGGAGGGGGGGAGCAAAAGGGTGGTTGCATTGAAAAAATGGTGAAGAAGGTGCAAAACACAATATAGGAAAAAGGCACACAGTAACACAGCACAGATCTGCAAATAAAAAACCAAAGTTGAATTGAACTAAGTACACATTACCCAGGTTGTAGCAGGTTCCTTAGAGTATGGGCTGAATTCCTTGCAGTAACAAGATGTCTGGGGAGTTTCCACTGAAGATAAGGGAAAATCCCAAATGTCCAGATAGTTATGGACAATGGAATCTGACCTAAGCCAGCTCCCAGAATGGAATGACAGTCCCAGAGAGCAGATTAACTGCTCTGGAACTGGAATGGCAGCCACCCACCAGAGTGGAATAACAATCCTTGGAGATGCTCAGGAGATGGGAGGGCAGCCATGAAGGAGATAGAAAAGATCCTGAAGTGTAAGGATGTCACTGGCAGCTAAAATCAAGTGAATTCATGTCATGGAATTGTCCATTACTATGCATGGGTGTGGAAGTTGGACAATGAGGAAAGCTGATTCACCTGAAATGTGGTGTTGGAGGAGAGTTTTATGGATACCACGGACCGCCAAAAAGACAGATAAATGGGTTCTAGACCAAATCAAGCTTGAACTCTCAACAGAAGCTAAAATGACTAAACCAGTTTGGTGTAGTGGTTAAGTGTGTGGACTCTAATCTGGGAGAACCGGGTTTGATTCCCCACTCCTCCACTTGCACCTGGCTGGATGACCTTGGGCAAGCCATAACTCTTGCACAGCTGTTCTTGAAAAAGAGCAGTTTCTGTCAAGAGTTCTCTCAGCCCCACCTACCTCACAGGGTGTCTGTTGTGGGGAGGGGAAGGGAAAGGAGTTTGTAAGCCGCTCTGAGACACCTTTGGGTAGTGAAGGGCGGGGTATAAATCCAATCTCCTCTCCTAAACTGAGGCTATGGTATTTTGGTCACATTAGCAGAAGGCAAGAATCACTGGTAAAGACAATAACGCTAGGAAAATAGGAAGATGCAACAAGAGACGGATTGACTCCATCAAGGAAGCCATGGCCTCAGACTGCAAGACCTCAGCAAGGCTGTTAACCACAGGACGTTTTGGAGGTTCTTAAGGCCTAGGGTCGCCACTTAACGCACACACACTTGTGTACCAACTGCACTGGGCACTTTTGTAACCGGGCGGCCACGTGTGCGATCCGCTATGACAGCTGCCTTTCACAGTCATCGGTCCACAGGCCCTTCCCGGCTGGAGGGCCCTAGGAAGGCTTAGGACGCGCCGCCTTCCACTGAGCACAGGTGAGGGGGAGAAAAAGGGCCCCGTAGCACTTCCTGTGCCCCCATTGCGCTACCCTTCGGGTTCGGTTTAGAACGCGCCGGGCGCTGACGTCACGGACGGGAGGGGCGGACCGGAGACACACCTCACTCGATCCCGAGGCGGTCACGTGAGGCGCTCCCGCGGCTGCGTCAGCTGATCTTTGCTGAGCTGTGGCCGTGGCGGCGATGGAGTTTCTCTTGGGCAACCCTTTCAGCTCTCCTGTGGGCCAGCGCATCGGTAAGGCCGCCAGGCTTGCCCGTCCTCCTTGTTCCCCGCTTCTACTCTCCCCGCACGTCCTCACGCGCTTTCGCAACTTGAGTGTCTATCTCGGGCGAAGGGGGTACGAGATTGGGCGGTGCTTCAATCCATCGGGGCGGATGTAAGGATAGCTGGAGCCAACCAGGACGCGGGACTATTTTGACTGACTGGCCACGGTAGCCAATAGGGAGTGGGGAAAGAGGCGGGCTCTTGGGGGCTGCCCTCCTAAGCCAATCCTGGTGTGAGAAGGGGTCTTCAGGCGAGGGAAAGTTTGCTTATTTAAAGGAGCCGTTCCCCCTTGAACTAGTGCCACGCCCCCCCAAAGGAATGGGAATGTTAAGTGCTGCTCAGTGTGGCCATGATTCAGTAGAGAATTTGTGCCCGGGTGACCGTCAGGTGGTTCTTCTGAGCACCACCGTTCCCTCGTTCTTGTTGGCCTACAGGCAGTAGAGGCGTGGAGGAAGTAAACACGTGTTGCAACGGAATTTGTTCATAGGCCACTTGTAGATGATTGCTTCACCTACTTGACTGCCTTCTCACAGTGGTTCTCCCGGAGAACTGATTGATGATCAGAAACATATAAAGGTAACAAAGCTAATCCTAAAAATTCCCCTGAAATACTTAATATAGAAAATTAGATTTCTAATAATAATTAGTGGGCCACCAAATCTACACATGTATTGGGGAAGGGCATTTGATTCCAGGTGCAATCCGTGGGTTTCCTTTGGACCAGAGCCTGCACTGCTTGCTGCTTTTTAAATATGAAGGCAGAAGAAATGTTGTAGTTTTCTGATCTAGTTTTGTTTTAATCTCAGGAATTAAATAGGAAGAGAGGAGGCCATGTGTTCACTTGAGAGCCATTCATAGCTTCCAAAGAGAATGCTGAGTTTTATGTTTTATAAATGCATGTGTATTGATGGCCTAATAGACAAAAGCGCTGTGTGACTCACATGTTGCTTCAGTAGATGTTCCTCATTTCATCATGCCTTGGCTCAAATAACACCTTCCCATATGGTGTTATAACACAAAATCACATACGTTATGTAGAGTCACTGGAAATTCCTGGCAATCCAGGACTAGCTAGTTTAACAACTGAGCAGTAATGGAATAATGCAGTCACCGTCATTCACTTCCCTCCACTGGCAATCAGGGATTCACTTATAGTACTTCGTTCCTTTATATTTATACACGAATGGCAGCCTACTGATTTCCCATGTGAATCTGGTAATGCTCCAGTGAATCAATGTCAGTGATTGGATTAATAATCATGTAGTGTTGAGAGCATATTATGGGTGCTGATTGGTTAAAGGAGTGCATTCTCTATTCACTGGAAATGTATTTTGTTCAAACATTGAGCAGCCTTTGGATATCGATGGATCAAGGAAGGAAGCTGGAGCAAGGGATGGCATGTGTCATGACCGTTCCCTTCTGCCTGTTGTGGACCTTATGATTTCACTTGCCTGGGTCACATTCAGTCATATGCAGGAGGTCCAGCCCTCTGCATGTTCACTCAGAGGTGTCCCGCTTTGTTTGTCGGAATTTACTTCTAAACACCTGTTCATAGGATTGCCGTCTGGAAAAGATCTCTAACCCCCGTACTGCAAAAATGGCAAGGAATGAGCAAAACCATTTGTTCTCTTTCGAAACAGCTTAGCTTTGTTAAAGCTATTGCCCAGTTGTTTTTTATGATTAATCAGTTAATCGACTGAATGAAACATTGTTGTGTTTCTCTATAAGTAAGGGTTCTGAAACAAACCTCTCTGTAAATAAACCTGATGCTGCAGTTTGCAAAGCCAGTATAAAAGCATTGCATAATTCAGGGGTGGCACATAAATTGCTTGTAGCTATATCATTAGGTTTTGTACCTGATGTGCAGTCCTAATCTCTAAATGCTATTAGTGGCACTGAAAATCTGCAGTGACACCTTCCATGTCACTTTCCTTTTGAAAGCCTAGTGTAAACACTTCCATTTCAGACCATACCAGAACCCCTTGAAATGTGAAATAACCTGATCAGCCTGTAAAATGTAATGCTTTAATGTTATGCTACAGATTGCTGTTATTGTCACCACACCCTGGATCCAGTCTAACACCCTTCTAAACTGAATTATTAGGCACATAGAGGGACAAAGCCTACTGAGGAAAAATCAGCATGGCTTCTGCAAAGGGAAGTCCTGCCTCACCAATCTTTTGGAGTTCTTTGAGAAAGTGAACAAGTAAGGAGACAACGGTGATATGGCAGACATTATATACCTGGACTTTCAAAAGGCTTTTGACAAGGTACCTCACCAAAGAATCCTGAGTTGACTTAGCAGTCATGGGATAAGAGGACAGGTTCTCTTATGGGTTAAAAACTGGTTAAATAACAGGAAGCAAAAAGTATGAATCAATGGACAGTTCTCCCAATGGAGAGAAGTAAGCAGTGGGGTCCCACAAGGATTGGTTTGGGGGTTGGTACTATTTAATTCATAACTTATCTGGAACTAGGGGCGAGTAGTGTAGTTGTCAAGTTTGCAGATGACACAAAATTATTCAGGATTGTGAAAACCAAGGCTGACTGTGAAGAGCTCCCAGAGGACCTCCACAAACTGGGCGAGTGGGTGACAATGTGGCAAATGAAGTTCAGTGTTGGTAAGTGTAAGGTAATGCACACTGGGACAAAAATCCAAACTCCAAGTATAGGCTAACGGGGTCTGAACTGGCTGAGACTGAGAGGGAAAAACATCTTGGGTTCATAATGGATAGCTCAGTGAAAGTGTCAATCCAGTGTGCTGCAGCGGTGAAAAAGGCAAACTCTGTGTTAGGGATTATTAGGAAAGGGATTGAGAATAAAACAGCCAATATTGTACTGCCCCTGTATAGATCGATGGTGCGATCTTATTTGGAATACTGTGTATGGTGCTGGTTAGGTAAAGGTTTCCGCTGCTCGAAAGCCAGTCGAATCCAACTCTAGGGTTGCGGTGCTCATCTCTGTTTCCAAGCCGAAGAGCCAGCGCTGTCCGAAGACGTTTTCGTGGTCATGTGGCTGGCATGACTAAACACCAAGGTGCACGGAATGCTGTTACCTTCCCACCGAAGTGGTCCCTATTTATCTACTTGCAATTTCTTGCTTCTGAACTGCTAGGTTGGCAGGAGCTGGGACCAGAGATGGGAGCTCACTCCGTCATGTGGCACTCGGGTCTCGAACTGCTGAACTACTGACCTTCTGGTCTGCAGTTCAGTGTCTTAACCACTGAGCCACCGTAGTTTCTAGTTAACTTATTTCAAAAAAGGTTGTTGCAGAGTTGGAAGAAGTACAGAGGAGGGCAACCAAGATGATTAGGGGTTGCAGCACCTTCCCTATAAGGAAAAGCTGAAGAGTCTGGGACTTTTCAGTTTAGAAAAGAGACAACTAAGTGGGGAGACATGATAAGAGATTTATAAAATGATGCATCAAGCGAAGAGAGTTGACAAACAGATTTTTTTCCCCTCTCCCAAAATACTCAGACTTGAGGGCATCCAATGAAGCCAATGGCTAGTAGGTTCAGGACAGACAAAAGGAAATACTACTTTACATAGAGAATGATTAAAATGTGGAATTCGCTGCCAGAGAATATAGTGATGGCCACAGGAATAAACAGCTTTAAAAGGAGATTAGATAGATTCATGGAGGGTATCTATCAATGGCTACTAGCCATGTTGCCCCACATTCAGAGTCACTAATCCTTTGAATCCCAGAGCCAGAAGGCAACATCAGGTGAAGGCCTCGGCCTCTAAGCCCTGTTATTGGCCATCCAGAGGAACTGGTTGGCCACTGTGTGAGACAGGATGCTGAACTAGATAGACTGTTGGTCTGTTCGAGCAGGACTCTTCATTTGTTCTTTGAAGTTTGCCAGAAATGCTCACACATGTTGTCAGCTTGGAATTTTCAGGTTGCTAACTAGGTTAGCCTTAAGTCCTCTGTTTGATAACCCTTACTATTTGGAATGTTTGTTGTCCAGAAAGCGTCATACTTCTGTGCCTGCTGTTTAAGTCACCCTTCTGTGCAGAAGTCATGTGGGCCTGGGTTATATTTCAGGAGGTGTGGATGGTTCTAATTACAGCTGCCGTAGTTGAGCTCAGCATCTAGATCTTTCATGTGACCAATGAATAGCCTTTGTGTTTCTGAAAATCAAAGGAGTAAAGTCCAGGACTTCTCCACCCCCCACCCGAAACTTATTAAAATGGCACTAACTCAAAATCCATTCCATGGATTTATGAAAGTAAGGAGCATTGTTTAGGTAGTCGAGATAGTTTATCAAAGTCTAGCCCTTTGAAGCAACAGTCTAAATGTACAATGGGGGGTGATACTTAAATGTTCAGGCACAGTAACCCTAGAGGCCTGTAGAACAAACTAGAACGACACCTGTGGTTCTCACAGTGTGGTATACGTTCTAAAATGGTACAAGAAATTGCTGAGTCAAACTTAGTCTTCCCTCGACCTCCCTCTTCCACCATTCTGCATTGCTGGGGATTGGGAGCAGAATGGTCCCCTCAGTGCACTCTCAATAGCTGTGTGCCCGGCATCTTTTGTGGGTGATGAGGAAGGAGTTCATGAATGTAACCCTTTATTTTAGGGTCTCTCCAAGTGATCCCAGGTAGCAGTGCTTTCCTACTGACCGACCCACACCTTTTTTTTTTTTTTTTGCTTCCTCTGTTCATTATCCACCAAGAACAGGAACAAGAGTTGTGAAATAACCTAGCTGTAGTTGAGTGGCGTATTGTAAGGTTTTCAGTTTATTTATGCAGGTGGGCTTTCTATCAAGCACTAAAAAACCTTGAGCTACACTCAGACCAGATTATCAAGCAGTGTGTCAAGCTATCCACAAGTGCACCTCTTCCCCAGCCTCCTCCACCTGAGCTTGGGGAGGTCTTTTGAGAGGGGTGCCAATATGTAGTCTATTAGATTGACAGTTTCCCAAGAAAGATGGAAAATGGAATTAGAAAACATTATAAGATCCCATCTGCTTGGATCTGGAAGAGATTTTTTTATGGTTCTAGGGTTTTTAGAAAAACTTTTATAGTCAATTATTACAAAATGTACTTTAAATTTTGTACTATCTAGCACAACCTAAATTATTTTAAATTAAGGTTTTGTGGGGGATGGCAGGTCTACGTAATTGTCCCTTGGGAAATAAGTCTTGTTTCCTTCCTGGTCGAAGAGGAGAAAAATAGTTACTCAGCTCCTAGAAATCTGATGGAGGCCTTCCTCTTCGCAGACTGGCCACCGAGCTCAGTTCCAGGTCGTACTGTACTACTCCGCACCTTCCACGACACAGATTCTATCCAGATAACCTACATTCTTCTAACTCATTCTAATCCATACACTTAGTCTCCAAATGTAGCTCCTGTTTCTTTACTACCTTCTTTGCATTATACAATTTATTTTGAGGGCAGAATTTAGGTTTTACTTTACGTCACACCCAGCCAGTGTTCCCTCTAAGCTGAGTTAGTGTGAGCTAGCTCACAGTTTTTTAGCCTCCAGCTCACACATTTTTGTCTTAGCTCAGGAAGGATGGCTCCAGACAGCACTAATTCATGCAGCCGCCAAATCATTCACTCACAACT